TGTTCTCTGCTCCGGCACTCGGCCAGCCGGCTTGCTCACAGGGGACAGAAACAGCGCCTGAAACACCTGTATCACCCAGGGTCCAAACCGGGCGGCCAAAGGAGCTTAATGAGGGGTCACTTACACAGCTCTGGGTAGGGCACCGGACGTAGCAAGGGAGGGAGCTGGCCCAGCCAGGAGCCCAGGCTGGTTACCTGAGCCCAGGAGAGCAGCTGCCGGGAGAGGGTCCCACACAGGAGAGGGCCGTCAGCGGGGAGGGACTCACCCAGGAGGCAGGGCTGACGGAAGTGCCTGCGCAGCATCCGACACCCGGGGACTGAACCACAACGACGCAAACTCAGGAGACAGCCAGGCCCAGAGCACCGCGCCCTGGAAGAGGCCCGAGGCCAGAAGCAGATGCAGACCCGCCAGGCAGCCGTCGGCGAGGAGAGCAGTAACAAGTCTGTGAACACACCGAGAGCCCACATCTAGAAATCCACCCACCGCTCCAGAGGGTGACTGTGTGGGAGGTGTGGGGTTCCCTCCTGTGTTCAAAGTGTCAGTCGTGTACCGCTTGCCAGTGTCAACTCCGTGATCCGGGGGTTAAAGCAGAGCCGTGACCACTGAGAACACAGTGTCTCCTGAAGCTCGGACTCAGAGCTTGTTGGATGTTGGGCGGTTTTTTTTAAAATAGGTTTTTATTGATTTTTAGGGAGAGAGGGAGAGGAGGAGAGAGATAGAAACATTGATGAGAGAGGAACATATTAACCAGGGCATGTGGCCTGACTGGGAATTGAACTGCAAACTCTTGGTTCCTGGGTCGACGCTCCACTACTGAGCCACCCCAGCTGGGCACACTGAGCACTTTTAAAGCCAACTCTATTAGTTACCAAAAGAACAACGGGAAGCAGGGAACACGCAGTCACGACAGACTCCATCTCAGAGGTTCACCCTGGCAGGCCAACTTCCCAAAGTTCTGTCCGTCGATTAACGAGTAGTAGCCTGAGCAGAGGAAGCGGCTCCCAGACTATTAGCTGTGCATGCTCCAACTATGAACCCTCATCCCCAGCCACCACCGATCCAGCAGCCACTGCTGGCATCACAGCCGGCCCTCTCACCCACCGCAGTGCCCGCTGCGGCTGTGGGTACCCACGGTTAACCGCACCACAGATTATTAAATGAAAAAATTCCAGAAATAAGCAGTAAGTTTAAAATTGTGCAGTTCTGAGTAGATGATGAAAATTTTACGCCATCCCACTCCATCACGCCGAGAACGTGAATCATCCCATCTTCCAGCGACTCCATGCTGTACACACTACCCGCCTGCTAACCACTTTAGGAGCAGACTGACATTCATGGCAGCATAGGGCTTGTGTTCAAGTCACCCTAACCCTAACCCTAATCCTAACCCTATTTTACTATTAGAGGCCCAGTGCATGAATTAGTGCATGGATGGGGTCCCTCGGCCTGGCCGGCGATCAGAGTGACTGGAGGCTGTGGGAGCGCACTAACCACCAGGGGGCAGCTCCTGCATTGAGCGTCTGCCCTGTGGTGGTCAGTGTGCATCATAGTGACCAGTCTACTGGTTTTAAGCATTGCTTGGACTTGTATATATACAGATTAACTAGAGGCCCAGTGCACAAATTCGTGCATAGAAGAGGGGGTGGCTTGCAGAGATCGTGCTCCAGTTTGCACCCACAACCTTGTAGCCCCAGCTCACATCACCAGCTTTGCAACCCCATCTGGCACCCCATCTTGGCCTGGCGCCACCCCTTCACCTGCTCCACCATACTACTTATGGGGTGATGGATTAGGGCCGGGCTCCCTGCCCGGATCCCTCAGTGCCTGGGAGCCAGGCAGCGGCCCCCGCCCTCCACCACTGCTACTGGTCACTGTCTGTGGGGTGATCAGCGGGATAATCAGGTCTGGCTAGCTGCTGCCTTGGCCTGGTGCCACCCGCTCACCTTCTCTACCATCCAGTGGGTCCCATCGGAACCAGCAGTGCCTCCACTGCCGCCTGCTGCCAGCACTGTGTCACTGATGCCTGCCATGTTCCGCACTGCCCCCTGATGGTTAGTGCATGTCATAGTGAGTGGCCGAACTTCGAGTCTCCTGGTTGGACAACCAACTGAGGGGACAATTTGCATTTTTTATCATACAGGATGGCCCCAGAGAGCAATAGCAGTGATGGTGCTAGCAATTCAGGTATGCCCAAGGGAGTCCGTAAAGCGTTTTCTATAAGTGAAAAGGTGAGGACAGTACAATGAGGTACTTAGAGAGAGAGAGAGAGAGAGAGAGAGAGAGAGAGACTACATATAACTTTTATTACCATATATTGCTATAACTGTTCTACTTTGTTATTGTTGCTAATCTCTCGCTGTGCCTCGTTATAAATAAGACTATCACAGGAAGGCATGTATAAGAAACATAGGGTCAATATTATCCATAGATCAAGTATCCACTGGGGGCCTTGGAGCACAGCCCTCACGGACAAGTGGGGGACCAACAAATGCAGAGCACTTTTGAAAAGTAAACATCAGAGAGGACTGCAATGTCTCTCTAACCTCTTCTCCGTTCAGGGATTAGGCAGAAAGCTCATCAACTCCTCAAAGAACAATGGGGGCGCTGCCCTCCTCTCCAGGCTGGGCGGCCCCTGGGGTCTGGGGTGGGGCAGAGCCGTGCAGGAGGTCCTGAGTTGAGGGGCTTGAACTTGACTGCTTCCTAGTCGCTCCCGGCACTGGACCACCCTGTAAGCTCTGCCTTCTCAGGGTCTGCAGACACCAGGCCTCACTCATTCTCCAAAGCTCCAGGCACAATAATTATCTACCAGGCATGCACTACTTCTTATGCACAAAGGCCCGTGCTAGGCACTTGCCTAATCCGTAAAAACAACCCTAACACCCAGATCTGACTGCCTCTGCTTCACACGCAACAACACCGACGCTTCCTGAGGCCTCCCAGGCATCGAGGCGCAGTCGGTGGAGCTGGGGCTCAAAGCCAGATCACCTGGCTCCGGCCGGAGCCTCGTGGACTCCCTCATAGAGGCTCCCTGCCCGGCAGCCTGGACCTTCTTCCAAGAGTGGCCTGGGCAGCTCACAGCACAACCACCTCACCGTGCGCCGGGTCACAGCCCCTGGGCCCAGAGCCTTCTGCTGCCTCCGGGCCCAGCCCTTAGAGCAGCCTCTCCATCTCATGGGGATCCAATGACAGAGGCACAGCAGCCTCGGGCGCGGCCAGGGGCAGTGGGAGCACCAGACTGAGGTGCCCGTCCAGGCAGGTGTCCGAAGCCTGGGAAACGCTCCTGAGGTTTCTCTCCAAATACAGACGTCCAGGAAAACTATGACAGAAAGGGCCTGTTAGCGATTACTCTGCAAGCAAGGCTCAGTCTTCTGGGTTCTTTCCAATAAGACCTCAATTGCCTCGATTTTTCACATTTAAAATGTACCTGCTTCTGGGCCATGCACAGACTGGCCAGGACACCTAAACAGGCCCCAGTTCACTGTACCCAGCAAGTCCACCGCAAAGGAAGCTCCAGCGTATGCACTTCCTCTAATTAAGAGGCCAAGAGGCGATGGCTTCACTGGCCTCACTGATCGCGTCCATGAAGCCGGGCACCTCCCGAGGGCCTGCTTCTCCGGGGTAAACGGGGGAGCCCGGCCGGGCACCTGCTGAGATATCGCCTTCAGATCAAATCAAATCCTCCTCAGCCTCAAGCTCAAGGCCCTCCCACAATATGGTCCCAGTCTCACTTTCCACTCATTCCTCACTCTCCCTATGCAAACTACACCCGACAGAGGCCCAGAGACCTCGGTGCTTCCAACCCCACGCCCTGGTGCACGCTATTCTCAGCCCACTCCCTTCGATCTGGTTTTAACCAAACACTGGCCCTTTAACTGCACGTCAAATCCCATTCCCTGTGACGTCTCCTCAAGCCCCTTCCTCCGCTCACACGTCCCCGATACTGTTCTCTCTGCACCTGTCCCGCAGCCTCAGAGTGCAGCGCCTTCCGGCGGCTCCCTGCCCGCTGCCTGGGCCAGAGGCCGCACTCTCCGCTGGGCCCGTGTGGGCCAACTGCTCTGGAGAGAAGGTGGCCATACAGTGTGGCCTCTGCGGGGGCTACCGCTGTCTCTCCCAGTGCCCTTCGGTGGCCTGCGTCCGGCACAGGCCCACACCTGGCCCCGCAACAGCCTTCTCTGGAGGTAAGGTGCTGCAGGAGCTGCCTGCCCTCCCCAAGAAAATGGGATTCGCTGGGTTTACATGCTCCGCAGCTGCGACCAGAACAGGCCAGCCAGGCATGCAGTCCGCAGGCCGCCCCATGGCTGTGCCAGCTGTCCTGCTCCCCCTCGCCAGAGCTAAATTCATCTCCCGCAAGTGTTCTAGTAGACAGGCCCCGTCCCGTCCCCCTCAGAGGCAGCTTTCTCCAGCCAGCAGCCTGCAGGGCAGCCCTGCAACATTCCCTGGTGTTTACCTCTCTGAGGAACATTCTTCTGCCCAGCAAGGCATGCCGCGGGCCACATATTTCAATCACTCTGCAACAATGCTGTGGGAGACCTGAAAGTTCTCTTCCCGCTAACCTGCTCCCTGGCCCCCTCGCCCTCGCCTCACCAGCCTGGGGGTGAGTGGGTGGGCAGGAAGGTTCTGCTGGGAGAGGCGCGGGTTTCCCAGGGGACGCAATAAGAACCACCAGGGAAGCTCTCCCCACCTCCTTCAGCAGCTGCTCCCAAAGCGTGCCCCTCCCTCCTGAAGACACTGGAAGGCCTTGCCTCAAGCATCTTCGGGGTGAGCATGACCCCCTCAGGGGGCTGACAGGACCCACATACTCGTATTTCCGAGCAGCATGGGGTTAAGGGAGCACCTCCGTCCTGCTGGGATGTCCCACCTTCCGCTTAACCCAGGCGGGCCTGTTCTCCGCAGTCCCGGCAGGGAGACCTCCCGCCTGGCCACTCAGGGCATGCCTCCCTCACGGGTCAGAGGGCAGCCTGGCCGCAACCTGGGTCTGGAGTCGCGCCACGCAGCCTTACCTCATCCCACTCCGAGGCGAAGGAGGGCGACTTCTCCAGCCTCTTCTTCCCGACGCTGCAGTTGGACAGGGACTCGCTCCGGCTCCCCATCGCAGCGTCCTCCGTGGGCGAGCAGGTCAGGAGGTCGGAGTCGGACTTGGACAAGCTGCGGCTGAGCTTGAGTTCGGCTTTGGGTTTGCTGGCGGGAAGGACTCGGCTTCTGGCCCCACTCTGGTCTCCCTCCTCGGCGCCACCGGGGTGCGGAGATGCCTTGTGAGTCAGAGTTCCGGGGTGCGGGAGGCTGTTGGAGGTGGGCAGGCCTGCTGGGTAGCCCCCTCTCTGAGTCTGGTCCGGGCCGCCAGGCGGGGAGCCTCCGGGAGCGTGCACGCCCGCCTCCTCCAGCTGCATGCCGGCCTCGTGGCAGGTGCCCTGCGCGGGGGACCCTTCTGGAAGGCTCTGGCTGCTGGCAGAGAGCAGCTGGAAGGCTTCCTGCCCCACCTCGTACACCGGGGAGGAGCCGTGGAGGAGCCCGGAGAACTGCTCGGGGACTGGCCCGTCCTGCCCCTCCGCAGAGTCCTGGCTCTGGCCGCTGCTGCTCCGCCTGTGGTCTTGAAGTGGACAGAGAGAGAAATACAAAATTAAACGTGGCAAAAATCAACAAAGTTCCAAAGCAGCGAGCAGACGGCAGGGCAGAGGAATTCAAAAACAGGGGCGGGGGGGGGGGGGGGGGAGATGCTGAATGGGCTGGGAGGGGCAGAGGGGGAGAAGAGCGAGGAAGGAAGAAAACAGTTCCGTATTGTTCTTAACGCTCAATTTGTACCCAAAGTCAGAGCATTTATGAAATTCCAAACACTGGCCTGGATAATGCCACCTGGCAGCCTTCCCTGTGCAGCTCTGTCAGCATTAACGACCAGACCTTGCTATATAAGGCCAGAAGTGCTAACTATATCCTGCCTTGGGAAAGGACGGAGAGGAGAGAGGGAGAGAGGGAGCGAGTGCAGAGCACAGTGAGAGGGAGGGAGAGCAGAGCGCGCCAGCAAACAAGTGTGAGCTGTGAGCAGGGCCGGCTCCTGGAACATCTGATAGGCTCCCAGGAAGGCCAAGTGCTATTCAGAGTCGCCGCCCGCCCTCTGGCGAGCAGCTCGGAGGGAAGGGAAGGTCAGGATCCCAACCTGCAACTTCTGGAATTCCTTAACTGAAAGTGCAAAACAAGCAGCGAGAAATGACGCTTCCTTCCTCGGAGGGGCTGAGCCCACGCCTCATCCTTCCTTCTGCGGCAGCACTTTCCTCTTTTCCCAACGCCTCCCAGCTGCTCCGACTGGTTTACTTTAACCCCAGCCGGCCCACTGAAAACAAAACGTCTACTCGGCCAGTGCCAGGAGCTCCTGGGCCTCCAGACCCACACCCAGCACCCGATGCCCCGCCCCCAGGAACCAATGCTCAGCCTGGAGGAGCATAAAAACTGACCAAATTAGTGTCCAACGCCAAGGGCTCGCCGTTTGAGCAGACCCATGAGGAGGCCCACACACAATGCAGAGCCAGAGTTCAGCTTTACTTCCTCTGAAGTGGAAGCTATGCACATACACCAAACGACCCCCTAGTTTGACCAAAGCTCCCGAGACCTATCCCCGAGATCTGAGGATCTTAGAGCTGAAAGGGTCACGTTTGGCTGTTTTTATAGATGAGAAATGGGAGGCCCCAAGGCCGCTGGTGGTGGGTCCGAGGGGTAGGGGAGGCTCTAACCCAGGTGTCTGGCACCTGGCTCTCCTGGGCGTGCTGCTTGAGAGCTGTGCGGCCCTGTCAGTGAGCTCTAATTGCTGGGCTTCAGTATCTAAAATAAGTTAAGTCACACTGGACGGTCCCTCAAAATCCCTTTTACGTTAGGGTTGTGATGAGAAGCCAAGTCTTCCCCATCTATGATGGCAAACTTCTCACCCTCCATGGGCGCTGTAGGGCCCTGCCCGGGGCCTGTGTAGCACCCACTCTCCCCATCAGCTTGCCTGCAGCCTGAGAGCCCTTCTTGAGGCCCAGTGCCGCGGAGAGGGGTGCACTTCAGGAACTGGTGCACTGGGGCAGTTCCCCTGCAGGGCTGTGCCCCAGGACTGCTCCCTCCAGACAGCCTGAAGGCAGGTCAACCACCAGCTCTCAGTGACCAGGGACGGCTCCACTCCGAGCAGTTCCGGCTCCGCCGTCGCCCCGCTTTGGCGAGCCTGCAGAGCTGTGCGGGGCGGCGGTTAACTCACTCTGCTGATTGCGTAGCCACAGGAGCCCACAAGTATGAACTTGGGCGTCTCCTTCCTCTACACTTGTCTGCTCCAGGACTCTCACCCCTAACTCACAGCCCTGCTCCCCAGAGGTCAGGGGCAGAGCCCGGAACAAACACAGCACAGGCCAGCCCGTCCCCAGGGAGGAGAAACGCTGGGAACACAGAGCTCCACACAGCCGCGCTCAGCCCGGACACCGTGCCTGCAGGCCAGCACACAGGAGCCCCGGCGCCGAACAGAGCCGCCCTGTGCTGCCGCGGGGGGGCCCGAGAGGCCGCACTTGACATCCAATGGCGATGGGGGACTTATCCTAATGGCCGGCCCCCTGCAGGTCCTGCCCGAGGTGCCTGTCCCTCTGTGTGCACACAGGAAGGACTTGGTAACAGGAGCACCGGCTCCCATTTCTTTGCATCAGCTTCTCGCTTCTTATTTAACAATTTGGGGGTCAGGGGGTCGGAGGGGGGTAAGTCCAACCACAAAAGAGAAACAGCACAGCCCAGAACCAGGAGCCAGCGTGGCCGCGCTGCGTGGGTGGACGTGCCCTGCCTGCTGCCGGGGACCGACAATGAGGCCCTGTCTAACAGCTGCCATTCAAGCCAGCTTCAATGAAGAAAGAGAGACCGATGCCAACAGCTCAATACCAGACTCATGCCGGGGGAAGGAAGTGGGCAGAAGAGAGAAATGGAAACTTGTGAAGAAGGAGACATGGAAGAGGAAGTTTTTGAGGGTCCTAATCCCGTGAGAGAAACCACAGCCCACCGACACCTTATGGGGCGTAAGAAGTCACCAGAGAACCTTTAGGCTGACACACTCACCGTGCTCCCGCCTTTGGAATGATAAGGCACCCGTTCCTCGTCCCACCTCCCCGCACTCCCCGCAGCCTGGCCTCTGGGGGAGAATAAGGGAGCCGGGTGTGCGGAGGCCCCCAAACGCCAAGACCAGCTGCTCCAGGGAAGCGGACACTCCAGCCTGAGAATCCCCAGCCCCTTAACCTGCCATCTAACTCACTTTGCCCCACGCTGTGAGCTGCGGGAGCAAGGGGTCCACCAGGCTAAACCTAATTACTGTGATGACCCGTGGGGACCTCGGGGCTTTGGAATAATAATTTTACACTTACACATTCTTAGTCACCCGCCCATTTAAATTAGGCTGAAAAATGCAGCTCATGCGAGGGCTCTCTAAGTCAAATCAATCCTCAGACCCAGAGGAGAAAGCTGGGGTACTCCAATTTCCCAGCCTGCTCTGCTCTGTTCCATTAGGACTGAACCCTCTAATGGCCTAATCACTGTGTGAGCGTCAGAACCGTGCTTTTGCAGAGTCACCCCACTTTCCCCAGAGGGGAGTGCTGACTAGGTCACACAGACATCGGCTGGACATCGCATCTGAGCAGACAAGTAGACTGAGTTCACCCTGTTCCGTGGCGACCAGAGAACAGAGGGGAGCCCCCGCTGCAGCCAGCCCTGCGGCGTTTCCTCTCTGGGCCCTTTTCAGAGGTGAGCGGCTGGGCTGCATTCTCTAGGGCTTGAGACAGGAACGTCTGAATCTGTGCTTACACCAACATTCCTCCCAGCTCCTGAGGTTAAGAATGTGAGTAGCAGAGCAGGATCCGGGTGAAATGACTTAACCTCGAGGCTAAAGAGGCTTTGGATCCTGCCAACCAGGGCTTAAGGCCCAGCTCTAACACCTAACTTTTCCCCATCTCCTAACCAGGGGTAAAAATAGCCCTCCCAGAAGGTCTGTCTGCGTATTTGATGACCTAAGCGGTGTAAACGAACTCAGCACATGGCTGGCCTGTAAGAAGCATTCAGAAAATGGAAACTGCCTCACACCATCCTCTTCCATCTACAACCATCCCCGCTGCTCTTCCTGCAAACACTGCACACAGAGACTGCACCCTTTTCTCCCGACTCTGCAAAGAGCCAGCTATCTCCTGAGTGGCTCTATGAACGAGCTGAATAAAACCCAAGCGCCAGGGCAGGCCCAGGAGTCTTGCAAGTTTGGTCCAAGGTGGCATGTCACAGCGGCCAGGGGCCTCGCCTCTCGGTAGCACCCTCAGATACAGCACTACTCTGGGGCCCCTCACTTGTCCTGATGCCCTTACCATGTCCTTCAGCACCTCCTGAGCCTGTCCACTACCTGCTGCTGGACCTCCAGCCCCTCAAACTGCCCTAGTTACCCTATTTTTCCGTATATAAGACGCTATTTTTTTTTCCCCCCTAAAATTGTTAAGACTGAAACTCAAGAGGCAGCTGAGGAGGGAGCTGCGTGGGTGTGTAGCTGCATACCTTGTCAAACAGGCTTCCTCCAATCACGACCCTTATTGTTACTGATGTCAGCTGATGCCGTAATTGGAGGTGGAGGTGGAGAGTGCTCAGATGCAACAGGGACGGGAGCCCATAAAGTGTCAAAAACTAAAAAGATAAATACTGGAAAGAGATTGTCTTACTCTGCAAAATTCAAACTGAACGTAATCAGCTATGCAAAAGAGCATGGAAAGAGAGGTGCAGAGAGACAATTTGGACCTCCTCTCGCTGAGTGTATGATCAGACAGTGGAGAAAACAGGAAGAATAACTCCATAAGATGCCAAAAAAGGTTTTAAGAGGAAAACCAGCAAAATGTTTAATATACTGATTTCTTAATTTTGTGTTGGAAAAGTGGGGGGCGTCTTATACATGGGGGCATCTTATACACGGAGAAATACAGTAACCCGCCAGCTCTGGGGATCCTGTGCGACCAGAGTGACATCTGTGCCTGATTTAACAGCACACTCGCCACTCTGCTCCCTTGATCTCCTGCCAGTCCCAACGTGGGCATGCGCAGCCATCTGCTTCCTCTTCTCCAGTTGCTGGAATGTTGAACTGAATACTCAAGAAACAACTGACTGAGTCCTCTACCTATTCATCTAGCTCAGCTGCTTCCAATCACTTCAATGTACTAGGAGCTAGTGGTTCTGTGCTAAGTAATGTTTTTTAATAACCAAGGCAACCATGAGAAAAGAATTTGTATTCCCATTTTACATGTAGAAAATGAGACTTAAAGAGGTTAAATGACTTCCTCAAAGTCATCAGCCAATGAGCAGTAGAGCAAGAATCCAAGCCAGCCGAAACCGGTTTGGCTCAATGGATAGAGCGTCGGCTTGGGAACTGAAAGGTCCCGGGTTCAATTCCGGTCAAGGGCATGTACGTTGGTTGCGGACACATCCCCAGTAGGGGGTGTGCAAGAGGCAGCTGATCGATGACTCTCTCTCATCGATGTTTCTAACTCTCTCTCTCCCTTCCTCTCTGTACAAAATCAATAAAATATATTAAAAAAAAAAAAAAAAAGAATCCAAGCCAGCCCTCCT